ACTCTCGACCCACACTAGCATCATGGCCTCGCAGGAACAGGACCCATTCGTTGGCGCAGAGGGAGAAGAGGAAGACATGGAGCTCATGGCTCCGATGCTGGTGGCAAAACTGCAGGTATGTCTTTAGTCATAGCAGGCGGTCTCTTGTGTATGTGATGGTGACATTGATCACGTACGTGTCACAGGAGGCGGGCATATCGCCTCAAGACACCAAGAAGCTCTCGGATGCAGGCTACCACACTGTCGAGGCTGTCGCCTTCACGCCCAAGAAGATACTATGTACCATCAAAGGTATCTCGGAACAGAAGGCTGACAAGATACTCATAGAAGGTCAGTCAGTCTCTCGCGTGTCGCCTTGGACCCAGCTGACCTGGTCGTAGCATGCAAGATGGTCCCAATGGGATTCACTACCGCTACCGAGATCCATTCAAGGCGGTCTGAACTGGTACACATCACGACGGGATCGAATGGACTGGACACCATCTTGGGAGGTGAGCGAACAGTCAAATTTGGCTGCCGAGCTATGCTCACAAAGCTGTTAGGCGGTATCGAGACTGGTGCGATCACTGAGCTATATGGTGAGCCTCTCGCACTAGAGCCAGTGCAACGTGCAGCTGACCTGTCCAAGGCGAATTTCGAACGGGAAAGTCTCAGATCTGTCACACGTTGGCTGTGACGTGCCAGGTGAGCTGAGTGTGGCTTTCGATCTGCCTAGCTGAGCTGATGTCGTTTGCAGCTGCCCGTCTCGATGGGTGGCGGAGAGGGCAAGTGCCTGTACATCGATACCGAGGGTACCTTCCGACCGGTGCGAATGCTGGCTGTTGCCGAACGATTCGGACTGAACGGCGAGGAGGTCCTCGATAACATTGCCTACGCTCGAGCATACAACGCCGACCATCAGTTGCAACTGTTGGTACAGGCAAGCGCGATGATGGCGGAGTCCAGGTGGGTCGTGTTGTATCTTTAGCAGGGCTACAGGCTGATCCTAAACCAGGTTCTCTCTCCTCATTGTCGACTCGTGTACATCGCTGTATCGAACAGACTTCTCAGGTCGTGGCGAATTGTCTGCTAGACAGATGCATCTGGCCAAGTTCCTGAGAACGTTAATGAGGCTTGCGGACGAGGTGAGTTACCAGGGACACTAGACCGGACCAGCTAACAACATATTTCAGTTCGGAGTCGCAGTTGTCGTCACCAATCAGGTCGTAGCACAAGTAGATGGAGGACAGTTCGCAGTAGCGGATGCTAAGAAGCCCATGTAAGCGGTCGACACGCCTCTCTCTGTGCGCAATCTGACGATCCTTTTCAGCGGCGGAAATATCATGGCTCACGCCTCGACCACGCGACTGAACCTTCGCAAAGGCAGAGGGTCGTCGCGAGTGTGCAAAATCGTCGACAGCCCGTGTCTGCCAGAAGCTGAGGCTATCTTTGCTATCAAGTGAGTTCCGCTGTTGCCTATTGCGCATGTGCTGACCCTGCTCTCTAGTTCGAACGGTATAGGGGAGCCGGAGGAGCTGCGAGAAGGTTGATGATGACGAGATTGCGTTTTGGGTTCTTCCGCCAGTATCAGTTGTTTGTATCACCGTCATGGGTAGTTTCAGTACACACCAAAGGAGGGGGGCATGTATGGGTTCACACAGGATTGAGGGTGGGCGGGACAATTTTACTCGTCACCCGATAACTCGATTTCCCTTCGTTCTCCTGTTCGTCTCTTGTGGGTTCACGTCTCTTGTGGGTTCAAGCATCAATTCGGCTGCTCAGTAAAGTTCGCGACGTAGGCAACCTCCGTCAAGAACGCTATCACACCAAGAGTTCGGGCATCGCCATGTTCCTGACCTTCCGAGAGCACTGGGGTGGAGACATCTTTGGGTTGATCGTTTTCAATGTGGACGAGGTACTCTACATCCTGAAGCAGTTCAACATCCGACCCAAAGAGGGCTACAAGGCGGTCGACCTGTTGTGAATCGTCAGCGCGATGCAGCGATACCTGCAATACGCTGGGATGTACCAGTGGGAGTTTGTCTGGGATATCGAGGATCTCAAGAATGCAGTCAGCTTGTCGGAATCCTTCAGTCAACCCGACTTTTGGCATTTCAAAACAGAAGGCGGCGACTGGGTGCTAGCGCTAAAGTGGTGCGAAACGACACCCAAGACATACCGCCGACATCGTTACTGGTATAACGAAGCCGCTCGTATGGTCCGAATCATGGTGGCATGCGTACATAGCGAGTGGTACTCGGTCACTTCCATCCGCAGGCTCCTCATCATAGTCAAAGACGCCTCTGAGTATCGAGGATGGAAGAACGAACAGAACAAGGTGACCATGCAAAGGCGATTATCCCGCCAGAAGTAATCACTCGAATCGGCCAAGTCCGACCCAAGATCGTCATCGCCATGTTCACGCAACCACCGAGATCACCTCTGATAATTCCGAAAAATGAGTCTATGGATACTTGTTTGGCTTGACCGATAATAGGCTTAGTGGCATGAACGAGCACGAGCTGAGTGGCCTGGACGCCGAACTTCGGGCTATCCGGCTGGACGAGGGACCGAGATTGGTGCCGCTACGACTGGACCAGCTCGAAGACCGGACCCGGCGATGGCACGCGGCGAATCCGACAATCTCTTCGCGGTCAGAAGCCGTCTATCGACCTCCCAGTCCTCCGAGGGAGTCAAGAATATACCCTCTACCCCTGAAGACTGATGGAGTCTCGCCGCTGGCTGGGCTGTTCCAGATGCCAGAGCTGGTCCCGCTCATTTTGGACAGCTTCGATAAACCGAGGGATCTGGCGAAGATTTGTAGAGTGAGCAGGGAGTGGTGTCACATAGGCAGGCGCAGGCTATATGAGCATGTGTGGATACGGCCCTGTGAGTATGGACCTGGTTAGGTCGGTAGGAGAATCGGCTGGACACTAACAAGGTCCGCTGATACAGGGGAAGATGGATGTCGACGTAAGGTATAGTGATTCGCATTCACCAGATCCTTCGCCAGCTAAGTATGATCAATATAGATCAAGCTCCTATTCGAGAACCTACAGCAGGAGCCTGAGCTCTGTGAAATGGTGAAGCGGCTCGGTAAGCCTTTTCCTTTCGCCGAGGCTCAGTCAGCCGATGACATGAGACCCAGACGTGCGATTCTTCCCCCTTGCTACGCGAGGCGAAGAGAGAACTCAACTAGACGATCAGGTACAAGCGGCAGTCGGTGGCATGCAGAGGCTAGAGTCACTGGTCTGGACGGTTGGTCACATCTGCCAATGCGGTGTACGGGATATACTGACTTCATTCAAGCGCGATCGCTCGCTCAACCCAGCTTTTTTCGAAAACATAACCGGGCTAAGGCATCTACGCTCGCTCGAGATATCCGGTCACTCGTATCGATACTATGACCCGTCTCTGATCGGGGTCATGCCTGCGCTTACGGATCTGCGGATTATGATGCCTGATATGAACTTGAAATCAAAGGTTGCTCATATCACCAGGGATTTATCAGCGAGACCGAACGGTGGACTGAGAGGACTAGGCATCATTTGCCAGGTGGGTTCACAGACACTGTCTCAGGTGTCTAGCACTAACGAGTGAGGCATAGAACTCCTCCCTAATCGATGATGCCGTCTTGAAGATGATAGCACCGGATCTCAGCTATCTTCGGCGATTAACCCTGTGGGGATGCAGTCGAGTGACTCGCGATGGAGTCCACGAGATCCTACGTGAGGCAGCCAGCGAAGTGGAAGAACTCTCGCTCGATGCCGTACCTCATTCTGCAAGTTACCCAATCCTCCCGAAGATGCTGCTACTGACAATGTCTAGGGTCTACTGGATCTATCGGTAGCTCCAGACCTCCCTAGGTTACATACCCTGTCGCTATTGATCACCGTTCCCCACCACGATCCCGCCTATCCAATCCTCGTACCGAAAGACCTGCCGAGGCTCTCTCTCTACCCGTCACTCACCTCGTTGCATCTCACTCTATCCGGCGCGCATCTCTTGCTCCCTCTTCCGTCCTATCAGCATCTTCAAGCCCAGCTGCCACAGTCACTCAAGAAGCTATCCTTGATCAACATGGTGATCGCGTCTGAAACGTTGGCAGCTATAATCACTTCCAATACTGCGCTAGAGGAGCTGTACATCTCGGTCAATCACCGTTCCACCGTCCTGGATTGCGAAACGCTCGTCGGGCAAGGTCAAAACCTACGCATACTGCACGTGAATGGCCCAGAGGAGTGGGGCCCGAACGCGGATGATCTTCGAGTACTCGCTGAGCGTTTACGCGGGTTGGAAGAGGTTGGATCTGGAAATAGGGTGTACGAGGTACACAGGTATTTGGACGAAGACGGTATGAGCAGGACGGAGCTGTCCAAGTGGGGTAAAACCTATATACCGGGCTACTTTACAGTGTGGCGGGCCTGATGAGCAGGTGCGCTCCTCGCTTGACGATCCATGCCGCACCGCTGGGTTGCTCCTGCTCGACAACAGGGTAGACATTGATAGAATGAAGCGTATAAGGCTCGACGTCGGGTATGATGATGCGATAGGCACAATGGTACCAAGAGGCGACACGGACGACTCTGATCTTGTCGGGCCCTCTTTCCCGATCTTCTTCACCGTTGTGCTTTCGGATGAAGGACTGAAGTAGGGCCAAGGCTGCCTCTCACATCCCCAGGAATGGTGCCAGCGGAGACCTTCACCAATTTGCTTCGCGGAAGGCTGCCAAACAGAAGTTTCCTTATTCATAATTTATCAGGAAGAGCAGTTGGAGTGCGGTACTGCCCCGTTATCGCGGGGAGAGCAGCATTGCCACTGCTTTCCACTGTCCAGCTCGATGAATGTGGACAGACCAAAACCCAGGCAGCCTGTCTGACATACCTGTCAAGGACGACTGCGTACTCTATCCGAGTTACAGTCCCGGATATAGGATGGGATCGCTTGTGGGGTCAGGTAGATGAAACCGTGTGTTCAAAGACAAGCGTATATATATATTTGTTCCGGGGTGCTGCTTTCATGGGCGTATATATCAGTGGTAGATAGCTCGTTTTGCATTGTCGTGCCTATCGGCGCAGCGGTCTCTACGAGAAGTCCAGGGTTCAATCCCCTGTGTGTCCAACTTTCTTTTTGCGAAGTTTGGTTTTTCGCAGATTCGCTCACGGCTACCGAATACGCGATGCATGGACATCTTTTTGCATGACAAAGGAGCACGGCCTACCTATGCCTGTCAGATCAGCATCTCGCCTTCGATACACCGGTATACAAGGGCGAGCTGTATCTATATGCAGAGAGGATCTTACAGCCAAAGCCAGGCGTGTGCCACAAACCCTTCCTGACGGTTAAATCCCGGCGGTTGCCACCGTCGCGCGTCTGAGCACCGAGGCACTCGAGTACTTAGCTACATCATTGACAACATCAGCATAGCTTATCCCTCTAATCACACGAAAACGAGCAACATGTCGGGAAGAGACGCTCGAGATCGAGCGCCGCGGGTCAAAAACCGTGCCCCGGCGGCGGTGCAGGTGAGACCCAGGGTGATCTCGACGGCCAGAGGATCCCAAAGTTGACCGGTTTGTAGATCACTGCAGAGCAACTTCTGCGAGAAGCTCAGGAGCGACAGGAACCTGCTATTGTTGCGCCAAGGCAACGTGTAGCGGATCTTGAAGAGCTCACGGAGGTCCAAGGGAGAAAGAGGACAGAGTTTGAGGGGCGTATCAGGTATTCGAGGGATAGTATCCGATGTGAGTTGTGGTCAAGCGCGGCTGTCATCGAACGGGGCTGAGTGTCTCGACAGCGTGGATCAAGTATGCCCAGTGGGAGTCGAGTCAAAACGAGTTTGAGAGAGCGCGATCTGTCTTTGAGCGAGCTCTTGACGTTGACCCGAGGTCCGTGGAGTTATGGGTGAGCCACGGTCTTGCAATTGAGGCGGGACGTGGACGGTGCTGATCATTTCACGCCTTGTGCAGCTCAAATACACCGATATGGAGCTCAAGGCTCGAAACATTAATCATGCGAGAAACCTGTACGATCGAGCCATCACCTTGCTCCCCCGAGTCGACAGCCTGTGGTACAAATACGTCTACCTGGAGGAGCTGTTATTGAACGTTCCCGGCGCGCGACAGATCTTTGAGCGATGGATGCAGTGGGAGCCGAACGACAAGGCTTGGCAGAGCTACATCAAGCTCGAGGAGCGGTACAACGAGATGGAGCGTGCTTCGGCCATTTACGAAAGGTGGATCGGCGTACGACCCATACCGAAAAACTGGGTCACCTGGGCCAAGTTTGAGGAGGACAGGGGTCAACCGGACAAGGCCAGAGAGGTCTTCCAGACTGCGCTCGAGTTCTTCGGGGACGAGGAAGAGCAGGTGGAGAAGGCTCAGCAGGTGTTTGGCGCCTTTGCGAGGATGGAGACGAGGTTGAAGGAGTTTGAGCGAGCGAGGGTCATCTACAAGGTGGGTGGAGCGACTCTGAGGCGTGAGAGCGGCGGCTGATGGGATGTCGCTTGCTTAGTTTGCTTTGGCTCGTCTGCCCCGATCAAAGTCTGCGAGCTGTGAGTAGGCACGCAGGCGTGCATTCAGTGGCCTGACTGACGATCACAGTGTACGCCGCATACACCAAGTTCGAGAAGCAACGTGAGTCCCCGATGGCCTCACCAGAGGCAAGATCCCGAGGCTGACACCCGACTGTAGATGGCGACCGTGCTGGCGTGGAACTCACCGTGCTGGGAAAGCGAAGAATACAGTACGAGGAGGAACTGGCGTATGACGGAACCAACTATGATGCCTGGTTCTCCCTCGCTCGGCTGGAGGAAGATGCGTACAGGGCAGACAAGGAGGATGGAGAGGCTGTAGAACCGACACGGGTGCGGGAAGTGTACGAGCGGGCCGTGGCAAATGTCCCCCCTGCTATGGAGAAGCGCTATTGGAGGAGATACGTCTACCGTGAGCTGAGGCATGACCGTTCCACCACGTCAAGGTGCTGATAATCCTCTAGTCTGGCTGCAGTATGCTGCATTCGAGGAGATCGACACGCAGGATTACGACAGGGCGAGGGACGTGTACAAGGCTGCCATCAAGCTCGTACCGCACAAGACTTTTACCTTTGCCAAGGTTGGTCGTCTGTCCAGGCTGGGTGAGACGGCACTAATGCTTCGACCACCCCTAGCTCTGGCTCGCTTACGCCTACTTTGAGATCCGAAGACTGGATGTCACGGCTGCGCGAAAAGTGCTCGGAGCGGGTATCGGCATGTGTCCCAAACCAAAGCTGTTCTCTGGCTACATCGAGCTGGAGATGCGGCTGAGAGAATTCGACCGAGTGCGAATGCTGTATGAGAAGTTCTTGACTGTGAGTTAACGGCCGATGCCTTGACAGCTGGTATGCAGTGCGCTGATTTCGTACACGCTCAGTACGACCCGTCGCTCAGCTCGGCCTGGATCCAGTGGACACAGGTGGAAAGTGCCGTGGAAGATTTCGAGCGGGTCCGAGCGATCTTCGAATTGGCTGTGCAGCAATCATTGGACATGCCGGAGATTGTCTGGAAGGCGTACATCGACTTCGAGGCTGGAGAAGGCGAGCGAGAACGAGCTCGACACCTGTACGAGCGACTGCTCGAGCGTACCTCGCACGTCAAGGTGTACATTTCATATGCGCTCATGGAGGTCTCTGTGCTCGGTGGCGGAGAAGATGAGGACGGCAATGAGATTGAGGGCGAGGCGGGAGATCCCGAGATGGCTCGGGCCATCTTTGCCAGGGGATACAAGGACCTGCGGGCCAAGGGCGAAAAGGAGGATGTGAGTGGGCTGACTGCAAGGACGGTGGGTGCTGTTCACTGACACTTTGGCTTCGCAGCGAGCACTACTGCTCGAGGCGTGGAAGACGTTCGAGGCGGAACATGGAACCGCGGAGGAGCAGGCCAAGGTGGACGAAATGATGCCTACGACTCGAAAGAGGTGGAGGAAGGCCGACGACGGCAGCGGCGCTCTGGAGGAGTGTAAGTGGTGTTGTGGGAGTCTTGAGCGCCCCATAGCTGACGATCGCCCTTTCTCTGCAGACTGGGATCTCATCTTTCCCGACGACGAGAGGGATGCCAACCCCACTTCGTTCAAGTTCTTCCAGGCTGCGCAGGCCTGGGCCGCTACTCGTGGGGATGGAGAGGAAGGTGGTCTGTCGTACGACTTGCCTTCTGATTCTGATTCTGATTCTGACGACGAGGATGAGGAGGAGGCGCAGGCCGGAGGGGAGGGAGATGTTGTGGAAGCGGAGCCTATGGACGAGGATGAGTAGGCCCTGGCGGGATAGTGTACATGTAGATGCATTGATGTACGTGCTGTTCAGTGCTGCTCAGTCGAACAGAGTAGGAAGCCGATAGCCTGGTCAGAAAGGGAGCCGACGCAGTGGTGCTAGGTTTACACATGGACTCGGCATGGAGACGTGCGATCCTCACACAGCCTATATCGTTGCACTCATCTCACACTGCGATGCACCACTCATCCAGTTTGCACCGGTCAGCAGCCACTCGGAGCGACTCGCAGCCACACAACACCTGGACAATCGTGAAAGAGACTGCATGCGATATGTACAAGCAGAACCCTGCCTCCCAGCTAAACCCAGAGTCAAATCTTTTAAGCCTCCTGAGCTCGCTGTCGCCTCCTCTGGTCTCGCTCCTCGGCAATGGAGAGCTTGACACCCTTGCCCTTGGGCAGGGAGACCTGGGCCTTGGCACCCTCACCAATGACGAAAATGTTGGAGAGTCGGGTGGCAAAGGTCCTGTCGAGGACGTCCTTGACGTGGACAATGTCGAAACCACCGAGGTGTCGCTCCTTGTGGACGATGACACCGGATCGACCCATGTTTCGACCACCGGTGACCATGACGACGTTTCCGGGCTCGAACTTGATGTGGTCCACAATCTTGTTCTGGACAAAGTCAAACTTGACAGTGTCGTTGACCTTGATGGCCGGGTCGGGGTATCGGATGGTTCGGCCGTCGTGGGTGACGACGTAGGGGACGCCCTTGGCACCGAGCTGGTGCTTCTTGACCTTGCAGAGCTTGAAGGTGGCCTCCTCGGGGGTGATTCGGTGGATGGTGAATCGACCCTTGATGTCGTAGAGGAGTCGGAAGTGCTCGCCGGATCGCTCGATGGAGATGACGTCTGGTGGAGGGTACGGTCAGCGGAGACCAGAAGCCACGAAAGCAGGCCATGCAGCCCCAAACCCCCACTCACCCATGAAACCAGCAGGGAAGGTCTCGTCGGTTCGGACCTTACCGTCGATCTTGATCAATCGCTGCTTGACGATGGCGGTGACCTCTCGACCGGTGAGGGCGTACTTCAGTCGGTTTCGGAGGAAGACGGTGAGGGGGAGCGACTCTCGGAGCTTGTGGGGTCCGGGAGAAGGGCGGGGGGCCTAACAAGCCAACGAATCCATCATCAATTGATGATCTTGAAAATTCGCTATCGGCGATTTAACTCACGTAGGTCCCGCCCAACTTGTCGAGCATCCATGAGGATGGAGCTGCCAGTCGCTTCAGGTGCTTTTTAGGACCTCGACCCTGGGGGAGGAGTGAATACCAACGTTAGTGAGACTGTCTGATGGGTCGTGCCCGACCGTGCACGACCACGACCCGCGCTGCCGACGACGACGATGACCGACACGGTGAGGGCACTTTCTCCGCTGCTTCCCGCCAGGCCTCGTCCACCGCTGCTAATCCCGCTGGCCCGCTGACCCATGCCTCCAACGCAGTTCCGCCCAAAGCGACTCCTCCAGCCCGGCGCGACACCCCTGCTTGCCCAGCCCAATCCCGCTCTCCCAAACACCCTCATCCCAGTGCCCGCCGTGTGGTCGTCGTGTCGTCGGCGCTGTGGGTGAATGCTAGACTTACCATTTTGAATTTCTTGTAGGTTGAAAGAGAGTGACAACGTCCAAGACAAAGGTTGAAGGTCTGAAGAGCTGCTGCTGGTCGCGAGGGTGTGGGTAGCGTGAGGAGTGAGAGCGACCGAGTGAGCGGTGCAAGCTCTGGGAGTGGTGTCACTGTACACCCTCACCGCTCACTGTACGACGGGTGAGACCGCTACGGTGGGATCGACCACAAACTGGTTCGGCGTTTACGATATCCCCGAC